CTTATAGGGATTGCATTGAATTTATACAATGCCTGATAGTTTTGACAATAAAATAAAAATATTCAGAGATGCTCAGCTACAATCATGTTAGGTATTCCTCATACCAAATGAAATATATTTGATAGAATGTATAGTATATCTAGTAGTGTTTATATTTGGGGAACATTCCTTTACAAGTACTTGATTTCCTTGATCTACTGCAAAGTACTCTGAGTTCATGTTCTTTTTTCTTTTGCTTTGGGGTCATAATACATGTATTTGGGGTCATAATACATAGTTCATGTTTTGTTTTGTTGTCTTAATATGCTGTGTTCACTGTTGGTGGGAATGCCAACTGGTTCAGCCCTTTTGGAAAACAGTATGGTAGATCCTCAAAAAATTAGAAATTGAGCTCCCATTTTATCCAGCAATACCACTCCTGGGAATATATCCCAGAGAGGCAAAAAAGTATAAAATCGAAGTGACATCTGCAATTGCTTGTTTATTGCAGCACTCTTTACAATAGCCAGAATCTGGAAAAAACCTGAGTGCCCGAGAACAGATGACTGGTTAAAGAAGCTTTGGTACATTTACACAATGGAGTACTATGTAGCTGTTAGAAAAGATGAAGTTATGAAATTTACATACAAGTGGTACTACATGGAAAGTATCATGTTAAGCGAAATGAGTCAGAAAGAGTGGGATAGACACAGAAAGATTGCATTCATCTGGGGAACATAAAGCAACAAAAAGGGAGACTAACACCCAGGAATGGCTGAGATTAGTACCAGGAATTTTGCTCCATGACTTGAAAGCCAGCCATATGTGCTAGGTGAAAAGAAAGCTCAGATAGAGAAGAGAGCACCAAATAAAGGGTGCTGTGAGGACCCTCCCAGGGTGGGAGAAGCATGCTAAAAGTAGTCTATAGACCAAACATGATTGCCACTCAATGCCTCTCTTGCAAAACACAGTACCCAAAAGAAAAGAGAGAGAACAAGGGGGAATGCCCTGCCACAGAGGTAGGGTGGGACGGGGGGATGGTGGGTTGGGGGGATGCTGGGACCCATGGTGGTGGAGGATGGGCACTGGTGGAGGGATGGGTACTTGATCATTGTATAACTGAAACCCAAGCACAAAAATTCATAAGTCTATAACTGTACCTCATGGTGTTTCACTAATAAAAAAATTTAAAAATAAATAAATGGTGATTTTAAAACTTCACATAAGGGCCAAAGTGATGACTCTGAGAGCTGGAATATATGCTTTGCATGTGGAAATCTTGGGTTCAATCCCCAGTACTCTATAGACACCTCCAAGACAGACCATTAATTACTGAGTTGGAAGCTGTCCCTCATTACTGACAGAAGTGATCCAAAAACAGACAAAAAATTCACAAGAAAAAAAACCTGTATACCAAGAAATTCCTTAATCATTACATCATTTGTACTAGTTTAAACTATTATACCTATGAGGACAACAAAGTACTGTGCAAATGGAATGTATAGGTTAAATGTGTAATAAATGAGTCTATCATTTTGAATAGAAAAGATCTGCCCAAACTAGTTCTTTCCAATTGTACTAGTGTCATTAAAAATAGATTGCCTTTCTCTGCCCAGATCCTACTAGGTTCCCTGACTGATATCACTGGGTGAGCAAAATTTGTTCCTCTGATAAGTATAAATGTGAAATGCAAAGTACCAAGAAAATGTTTAAATAGCATCAAATAATATGCAACTGTTGAAGGAGAATATAAGCTAATATATGTCCACTCATATGTGTCAAAACTATATTTCATAAATGTACAAATTTTTAGAAAAAAATAATATATACATGCATTTATGCAAATACATGTATGGTAAACAACTGAGATGTGAAGAAAAATAACCATTGTGGAGCTGAGAAGGGATTGTATTCTTGTTTCTTATATTTCATCATATAACTTGGAAAAAGAGATATAATTTTGTAATATGAGGCATAATTTCACTGAATATAGAATTTGGCAAAGATAGTTCTTTTAGTACTTAAGAAATGTTGCACCATTCCTTCTGACTTCTATGGCTTTTTATAAGAAATCCACTAACAAATTGTTTTTCTGTATAGGTGAGGATATTTTCTTTGTTTTCAAGACTTTTTTCCTTTCCATTTTTTTTCAGAAAAAATTGGCTATTGTGTGTTTTGTTGATTTTTTTTTGTTTTAATGGTGCATCAAATTCCAGGACATCATTTAACAAGGTTAGACCTTCTGTTAAAGTCTCACAGGTCCTGCAACTGTAATCTTATTTTTTATTAGTCTATATTTGTTCAGATTAAGTACACTGTATTGGTCAATCTTCTAATTCATTAATTTCATTCCTCTTCCTTCAGTTGTTGAGTTACCCACTGAGTTTTTATATAGGCTGTTAGATATATCTTTTAGTTCTAAAAATGTTTATTGGTTCCTCTTTACATTTTTTGATACTTTTCTGCTAAGATTTTCCATTTATTTTCTTTGTTTCAAATGTGCTCAACATTGCTCACTGAAGCATTTATTTTTTTAAGAAACCACTTTAAAACCTTTGTCAGATAATTCGAACCTCTCTGTCATCTCAGTGTTGGCATCTACTGGTTCTTTTTTTTTCCCCAAGTTGTTTCTGGTTCTTGTTATGACAAGTGATCTCCTATAGAAACATAGATGTTTGTACCATTATATGATGAACTGTTGGATCTTGATTACACTTTGTTTCCTCTGACACTTTTAACAGAGCAGTCAGGGGGAGGGTAGGAGCTTCATCAGTACTGCCAGCTAGGGGTAGCAGTTCAGGCTCCTAGCTTGGTCTTTGGTTGATACTAAGAGTGTTTTTGCTGAATGGCAGTAGGGAGAGCTTAACACAGACCTAGAAAAGAGAGATAAGTCTGCCCCATTCTTATTCTTCACATGACTTCCAGGGACAAACAAAAAGGGGGGTGGAGGGGGGGAATGAGAGCCTCTTTACTGCTGCAAAGTGTTTCGTATCTTGAATCTCTGCAGACACACCTCAGTGGAGAGAAGGCTGGAGTACCTTGTTACTGACTGCTGAGAGTGTAAGACCAAGATCTCCACTTTACCTGGGCCTGGTGGGATTGGGACATATGAGTTTCTTCAGTGTCTGGCTAGGACACTGAAAAATTTTGTCTTGCTTTTCTGTCCCTTCTTAATATTGTGGCTAATGAGAGAAGAATCACCATCTTGTCCATATCCTTGGCATTCCTGGACTATTCTTTATTTCCAAATCTGGGTGATATAACACATACAAGAAAATCATGACTTAACACTATGACATTCTTTGGATCACTATGTCTCTAATCATCTTTCTCTTCTATCCTCTGCATTTTAGAATCTTATTATTTGTACATAATGTCCATATTTTACTTAGTTGTACTTAGACAAAACAACAGAATAAAATATGTGTCTGAATGTGTATATCTGAAGTGAAATTAGGCTTATGTTTTATGATATGACATTTTCCTTGTGATCTACACACTATTTATAAGGTGTCTTGACAAATAAATTCCCTCTTACCTGGTCATCTCAAGCCATGTTTCCTTTGAGCTATCTGGAGGGCAGGGAGCCAGGAGAGGGGAGGACACATGACAGAAGCAAGATAGAACAGTTTCTTCCATCTTTTTTCCCGCTTCTTGGGTCACACCTGGCAATGCACGGGGTTACTCCTGGCTCTGCACTCAGGAATTATTACTGGTAGTGCTCAGGGGACCATATGGGATGCTGGGAATTGAACAAGGGTTGGTCGCATGCAAGGCAAACACCCTACCTGCTATGCTATTGCTCCAGACACATTCTTCAATCTTAATAGACTATAAACCCCAGACTCATGCAACTACAATATATTTTGTAAATAATAATGCTGAATTTCTCAGTAAAACAAACATAGGACCTTAAAGCATTTCTATGTCTTCTGCCATGGAGTATGCACACTCTTTAACCACAAATTTGAAATTCTGAACTTACAGAGGGGTTCAGGGAAGGGATGATTTCTGTTTAGGGGTTCATTTAGCAACATCTAAAGTACATTTAGATTACAAGGGGAAGGGAATAAATACGGAAGAGGATCACACTACAGGAATCTAGAGGACACAGACCAGGGATGCTTAAAATTTACAAGGTTAACACAAACACCCTCAATAAAAATATATCCAACCCAAAATGCCAAGAGTGCAAAAGCTGAGAGATACTAGTTTAGATGTTGACCTATTCTTAGAGAGTGAAGTTTAATCTCTAGCTTGTGCACCTTTTAACCAACACAACTGTTGGTAAAGCTCTGCAAATGCACTTTACCTGTTCAAGCACTCAAGGAGAGCAGAAGCACTATTAGAAGAGAAGGGAAAGATACTTTATAAGATCCAAACACACATGCACAAAGTTCATGTGAAATAAAACCATACCAGGGGAGAACCATAGGCACTACAGATCAGCGAACACACAGACACAGCAATTGGCACAATGAGATACAGAGAGCGTTAGGAATGCAGTTCTAGTGTTTGTGGAGCTCTGGATATTGAGTTTGGACTGGCCCTGCCCAGACTGAAACAGAGCTTACACATCCTGCCTTATCCTTCAGCTTTCCTCTAATAATTGCATATCATACATACCAAGATGGGCGAGACCAAGACCCCCTCATTCCCTGTTTATCCCAAAGATAAGTTTGCGTGGATACATTACAAATGTTTAAAACAGATGTTCTTATGCAAATCTTTTCTGTATGGGAAGAATGGCCATATCTGGCAGTGCTCAGAACGTACTCCTGGCTTGGTTTGGTGTTAAGGATTACAAAGCATGTACTCAGATCACTGAGCTATCTTTCTGGCCCTAGTCTTAAAAAGAAATTTTGTGTATGAAACCATATAACAATATAAAAATTACAATGTCTCAAATATACTTTTTAATTTCTAATTTGCGTATCACTTTTACACTCATCTTTTTTTGCTATATCTTGCCTACCCAGCAACAATCACTTCAATAAATTCTCCCATTACTTCCTTCTCACCTCAGCAAAACTACTGAAACCATTGGGGTTGTTTTCAAAGTAATGCAAAGTTTCATCTTCTGGAACTGTTGGGGCAAGAGGAGGCAAAATTTTAAAAGAAAAAAAAATGGGGGTATGGTGCTGCCAGCAGGTCAACCTATACCTGCAGGGTGAGTGCATCAGCAGTCTGATGGTGCCTTCAGGCTTTCTGATACCCCAAAATTACCGCTGTGCCTACAGCCAGACCCCAACAACTTGGGACAACGTTTACCAAGAAATAAATGGCCAAAAGTCAGGTATGTGGGAGTCACAACCACAAACCACCTCCAGCTCAGCTATACAAGCTCATTTATTGACCTTATTTCAGAGACCCACAGATAAATCTAGAAAGAGATCAAAAGCCACAGTTAATCTCGGACTTGCACATGGCTGAATAGACCGGGGTAAATCAGAGGGGGGCAGGTTGGCCTCATGTCCCACCCAAGCAGAGCTCCCAGCAGCTACTTGCTTCCAGAATCCAAAATTGCTGCCATATCCCAGGCCTGACTGCACCATCTCAGGACAGACCTCACCAAGATAAAATCTGCTGAAAATTCTGGTATGCGGGTTTTGTGCCTGAAATCTCCAGGCTTTCTCAGAGTTGAGGTGGGCTACCTCCCCCCACTTCCCAATACACATGAAATCACTGGCAGTCACCCACCATGATCCAACTCCAGCACCACCCTGTAAGCTCTACTGTTGGCCTTACTTCAGAAACCTCAGAGACCCCTAAAGAAATCTCGAAAGAGATCAAAAGCCACAGAAAAGCTCGGACCTGTGCATGACTTAAAAAACCAGGATAAACTGGAGAGGGGCGGGTTGGCCTGTGCCCATCCAAGCAGAGCCCCCAGCAGCCACTTTCTTCCACAATCCAAAATCGCCTCCATACCCCCAGCCTGACTCCACCATCTCAGGATGAACCTCACCAAGATATAATCTGCTGAAAATTCTGTAATGTGGATCTTAGCACACCAACAGCCCTGGCAGAGACACATCAGCGAGTCCTAGAAGACACCACAGTGACAGATCTCTGGGCCCCATACTGGGCCAATTTCACCAGGGCACCCCAAATGGAGCAGGTACAGTCTCCCTACCTACTCCAGATGGAATCCCGGTGACCAAGAGCTTCCACAATCAAGGCCCAGGTATGCAGGTTCCAGGACTGAATCTCCAGGCCACATGGCAGTAGAGGACCTGGGTGCAGGCTGTCCCTCCCCAGGTCCCCACTCGTCCAGCCGACTGGCTGCCATGCCCACAATTTGCCTCCGAGCGCCATCTTAGCACACCAACAGCCCTAGCCCAGGGACACAACAGCAAGTCCCAGAAGACACCACAGCTCTGGAGATCTCTCTGGGCCCCGTGCCGGGCCAATTTCACCAGGGCACCCCAGATGGAGCAGGCGCAGTCTCCCCGCCTACTCCAGATGGAATCCCAGCAACGAGAGTTTCCACAAACAACCCCCATCCCCACCCCAGTATGTGGGTTCCAGTACTGAATCTCCAGGCTGCATGGTGGCAGAGGGCCTGGGCTGCCCCTCCCCGGGTCCCCACCCACCCACCCACTAGACTGGCTGTCACACCCACAATTTGCCTCCACGTGCTATCTTAGCACACCAACATCCCTGACCCAGAGATTCCCAACTTAAGCCCAAAATGGATTAGTGCCATACAAAGATGTCTCTGGAACCCAACCATTTACAATCTAAAAATTTACATTTACAATCGCAGCCGTGGGAGCTCTAATGATATTCAAAATGAGCAATGAAAAATAAATTATCTAGTGTCTGCCCCTGGTAAGTAGGCTTGAATGGTGGTGGGAAATTTCAAGCAAAACATAATGCCCAAAACTAGAGAGAATTAGGTAAATTGTCTTCCATAGAGGCAGGATGAGGACTGAGATGTGGGTGGCACAAAATGTGCACTAGTGGAGAGATGGGTGTTCCATCATTGTATGGCTGAATCTCAAACATGAAAGTTTTGTAACTCTATCTCATGGTGATACAATTTTAAAAAAAATAAAGGTAATGTGGAGTTTATGCCCAATTCAGTCTTCTTAATCAATGGCTGAACAAGTAGCAGTACTCCTACATTATTAAAAAAAAGAAAAAGAACAAAGAAAAAATTAGACTGCACAAAAGTTAATATAGTGGAACTAGCTCTAGAGGCTAAGATGCCGATAGTGGCTCTTACAATAAGGGGCTAGTACTAGATCCTGATTGTAAGGCTCTGTGAAACAATTCATGTTTCAAGCACACACACACACTCAACAAAAAGAAATAAAATGCCACAGGAAACAAATGTACTCTTCCAGTGTTCACTCACCATTTGATGTTTTCCTTTCTTGCATGCTATTTGAACTCTTCGAGAGATATTCCCTCTAAAGTATAACTTTCCCCAATTGCCAATGACCTCTGAACCAGTTTCTAACACTGACCCCCCTCTTCATGACTAGTCCTTTGATTATGCCATAAAGATCCTTCTCAGGAGAACAGGCACCCAGACCTTTGTTCTCTCTATTAAGGCTTTCCACTGTGAATCCCAGATTTCCTTTTTTTCTATTAGACTCATAGGAAATCTAATTAGAAATATCCAAAAAGATCTTGTTTGGAAACTATGAGAAGGTATGTGTCTTAACTGAAAAAAAAAATGTTCCCTCTCTGCTGACAAACCTAGGTCAAAGACAACACTGGGGACGCTTGTCCTTACATGTTTTTGTTTCCCTAATGGGCTTTAAGATCACATTCCTTAAATCACAGCCAAGAGTGTATTAATCGGGGTTAAAACTATTTTAAAGACATAATGTGGTAGCAATATTCTGTGTACTAACAAGAGGCCAAGTGCAGCAGCCAAGAGCAGTAATAGAATCTTCTTTTTGTCAATTCTCATTGCCATTCTCAATTTTTAAAAAGTTCTCTCTCTCTCTCACTCTCTCTCTCTCTCGCTCTCTCTCTCTCTCTCTCCCTCCCTCATTTTTTCTGTGTGGGAGTGTGGGACTCAGATTATCTTATTTTACTTTGAATATTCCTACAAGATTAAGTCCACGTAATGAAAAAAAATGTCTTTAAATATGATCTGATCTAGCTTTGCTCCTTGCCAGAGACATAATACAAACAATAAATGAAAGGTCCTTGCCTGGTTCCAGTTCCTGAGGTTTGAACTGCTGAAGAGAATCCTAGCTCTGCCCTACATTGCTTGCAGAAGACTGAGTCCATTAGCCTCACTAAAGCTAGGAAGTCAACCTGAGTCAAATACTGATGGAGTATTGTAGAAACAAACAAACAAAAAAAAGTGTCCTATCCTAGGGCACACAAGAATCCCTTGTAATCTAACTGGCAACAGCTAGAAAGAACAGCTGAGTGACCCGAAGTGCAGTGTGGGGGGGGGGGGATAGGAGGGGGTGATGGGGGGAACATATGAGGTACCAGTGTATCAAAACAGGGTCCGGGCACATACAAGGCAATGCTTTATCCCTGTACTCCATCGGGCCCATCAACTTCTTAAAATATAGTGATCTCAGGATATTAAACTGAGAGTCAATAATGCCGAAGTAGAGCAGAAATAGAGTTTTCCACAAAACAAACAAAACAAAACAAAAATCCCCCTATTATTTCAATAGGGAGGAAAGGTTACCAGCAATGGATCGCTCAGGCCTACAGCTAATGTTCTTTGAACTCCCTTTAGGAAATCCCCGTTCTTGAGCTTTGAAAAAGAGGTTACATCCACTGCAACGGGGGAAAAAATTCACAACTTCAAACCCAAGGAACTCCAACAACGGCCGGGGGTTTCATCACGAGGCACAAGCACACACACCCAGCATCATTTCACGTCCGACACGAAAGGCGTACTGACCGGAGAGCACCAGTACTCCCCTGTCTCGTTCACCTACATCTACATCCGTGGCCAAGTCGTAGGTGGGGCCCAGGATGCTCCAAATGAGCTCCTTGAAGGTCCGGTCGGTAGCCAGCTGGGCCTCCGAGTGCAGTGAGGCTATGACCTCTTCCACCATCGTGGGCATCGTGTAGCCCGCCGGCCTGGCCGAGAGCTGCGGTTTCTGCGAGAGGCGCACGCGGGGCTCCTGGTCTGCCCGGGGGGAGACCTCGGCCACTTCCCCGCCGGGCTCCACCGAGGCGCTGGACGACTGGCGCCGGAAGTGGGGGTGAAAGCGCACGCGCCGCTGCAGCAGGGTGGCCGTCAGGTCGCTGTCGACGCTGGACACGGAGCTGCTGTGCCTCGTGCGACCCAGGCGGGGCTCCTGCAGCGGCAGCAGCTCGGGCTTCTTCGACGACTGCTGGAGCGGCGGCTCCTCTGCGGGCTTAAGGATGCTGGACTTCGAGCTCTTGGGCGCCACCGATGCGGTCCAGGACCTGTCCCGCCGCGCGGACGGCGCCGCCAGCATCACGGCCCGCGTCGTGCCGGCCTCGGGGGCGATGAGGGGTGGCAGCGGCTGCAGCTGGTAGCGGAGAAACGCCGAGCTGCTCATGTAGAAATCCCGCAGGCGGAAGGGCGCAACCTGCGGGCTCCGGGCCCAGGGGCGCCTGCCCCGCGGCCGCAGCGAGCGGACACTGGTGCGGGACGCTCGCGACGACCCCGACGGCGGCTTCTGCGGTGGATCACAGACATCGCTCTTCTCCTTGCTCTCCGGCGACACCTCATAGGGGCCCCGGAGGCCTCTGTCCACGGTTGGCCTGCGCTCCAGCTCCTGCTTGAGGCGGAGCGAGTGTTTTTTCGATGCCCGGCGAAGCTTCTCGTGCTCTCGGAAGATGTACTCCTCGTCCCTGTGTTTCAGACCGAAGTGCTTCCGAACTGAGTCCATCGTGGCGAATGCGTCCTGAAAAACGACCTGCTATTACTTAATCGATCACAGCGCTTGTCCCAACAGAATCCCAGCTTGGGAAAGTTCCTGGCCCACTGAGGATTCTCTGGTCCCTGAAGCACATCTAGGTAACTTTACATCTATCTAGTAGTTGGCCTTTACCATCAACCACCAGAAAGAAAGATGTTGGGGGGGAGAGGGGAGAGGAGGGAGAAAGGGAGGAAGGGAGGAAGGGAGGGAGGGAGGGAGGGAGGGAGGGAGGGAGGGAGGGAGGGAGGGAGGGAGGGAGGGAAAAAGAGACCTCTACTGAGGACACTTTTTTATTCAGAGTATTGGAAACCTGTTGGATTATATTGTCATGTAGTGATTGATGTTCAGCCCCAAGACAGGCTGCAGTTGGAGGATGAAACTCAAAGCCACTTTTTCTATGAGCGTCTGGAAACCTTTTAACAATTTCGTAGCATGAAAGTGACTTGAAACAGTCTACTGTTTGGAGAACATAAATATTGAGCTGGAGAAAGAATGAAGGGTGAAGGAGTGCAAATAAGAATCACTGCCCATCATGAGCCTTGTGCCAGAACTGGGAAACAGAGTAGAGTTAAAAAAAAAAAAAAAAGACACATGACAAGATAAATCTGACCACTGATTAGAAATAATTGGGAATAAAATTAGAACTGCGAATCGCTTGATAAAGTCTTAGAACCAAGAGCATTTTAGAAATCACTTACTGGTCTGTATCAAAGTGGATATTTGAGGACTCAAAAGCTCAATGAGCTAGAACATATTGCATGCAGACATGCAGGGCACCTGGGTTTGAGCTCCAACACAGCATAGTCCCCCAAGTACCTGTAGGAGTGTTGCGATAAAAAAAAAATGGATTTTGAGAGCCTGAGAACTCTAAAGTGATTACCAAAAGTCAGTTAACAAGAAAAATAAGTAGAGCCAATAAATTCCTCATCACTTTCCCCTGTGGGACAGAGGAAGTGAAAGAGTTAGAAGGGCTTATTTATTTTCATAAAACTCAAGATCAAGTTTCTCTGAAAATAAAAATAATAAAGCTAGACCAAAGAAATAGTACAGGAGGCAAGACACTTCCCTTACATGCAGCTGACCTCAAATCAAATCTCCAGTCCTACACATGGCCCTTTGAACACCACTGGAAGTGGCAAAAATAACAATAATAAAGTAAAAATGCTTATAAATTGATAGACATGGAGGGTATCATGCTGAATGAAATGAGTCAGTAGGAGAGGACAGACATAGAATGATTGCACTCATTTGTGGGACATAAAAAAATAGTTAAGAAGCTAATACCCAAGGATAGTAGAAACACAGACAAAGAGGACTGGTCCAGGTTGGAAGCCTGCCTCAGGTGCTAGGGGAGGAGATTAGAGAAGGATAGAGAAGAAACCACTATGGCAATGATAGTTGGAAATGACGACTCTGGATAAGAACTGCGTGCTGAAAGTAGGTAAAGGAATAAACATGATACCCTCTCAGTATCTGTATGATAAACCATAATACCCAAAAGGAGAGAGAGAGAGAGAGAGAGAGAGAGAGAGAGAGAGAGAGAAGAGAAGAGAGGAGAGACAAGAGAGAAGAAAAGTGCCTACCATAGAGCCAGAGAGAGAGAGAGAAGAGGAGAAGAGAGACAAGAGAGAGAAGAAAAGTGCCTACCATAGAGCCAGTAGGAGTGAAGGGAGGGAAGCTGGGGTCATTGGTGGTGGGAAATATACACTGGTGGAGGGATGGGTGTTGGAATATTGTGTTACTAGAACTCAAGAATGAACAACTTTGTAACTATATCTCACAGTGACTCGATTTAATAAATAAAAGTTTAAAACTAAAATAATAATAAAGCAAAAACACAACTGTGGAATATTATAATTATTGTAAAATATGCTTACCTGTCTAAAATAAGCACTAAACTATTTTGAATTAGAAGAGATTTTTTGTTTGTTTTTGGGTCACACCCAGCAATGCACAGGAATTACTCCTGGCTCATGCACTCAGGAATCACTCCTGGTGGTGCTTGGGGGACCAAAAGAGATATTTTTAAATGATCTACAAAAATAAAAATAGTTGGAAGTTATCTTATACAAAATAATATTTATATAAAAATAATACATTTAAAATATAGTGGCAACATCCCATTTATAATCTCTTAAATAAGCATCTAGAAATAAAATCAGCAATAAATGTCCTGAAACTACATGAATGAGTTTACACTAAAGACTAAATTTGTCTTAACTAGATAGACTATTAATATTCCTTAAAGGGAAGACCAAAATTTTTATTTACACTAGACTGTCAAAATATTTTTAGATGGCTAAAACAAACAAAAAGCAGGTAGGGCGTTTGTCTTTCATGCAGAGAACCCTATTTGGATCTCCTGCATCACACAAGTTTCTCCTGAGCCCCACCAGAATGACCCCTGATCTCAAAGTCAAGGGTAAGCCCTGAGCACAGAGAGATGTGGCCAAACACAAAACTTTATTGGTTTAAAAGCATCATACTCAAGACCTAAAACTTCTGTGTTTAACTTTGAAAAATAAATCTGAATCTGAAATGAAAATAGAATAGCAAACATTTTGGAAAAGAGAAATAATAAATCACAAGTTCGTCAAGGTAACTTAAACTTCTACAGATGTAGTAATTAAAACTGAAATACAACTAAGATCAATGTTGAGGGGACAAATTAATCAAGAACAATATAATATATAAAAACAGTAGTAACTTGGTGCTAAAAGAAATAAAATGTATTCAATAAACTGTGTTGAAGAAATTGATAACTATTTAGAAGAGGGTGGAGTATACTTTAGTGCATGAAAAAAAGCCCAGATCAAGATAGGGCTTAAATATAGGAATATTTCTTATTTTACTTTGCATTTCTTTACTATCATCTGAATTTCTTTCTTAGACTTAAATCAACTTATAAACGAATTAACTTCACAGTCTACTTCAATTATGAAGTTTGGCATGTAAAGAAAACATCCTATACAGTAGGGTTTTTGGTTTGGTTTTGGTTTTGGTTTTGGTTTTGGTTGGTGATTGGTTGGTTTGGGGGCATTACCTGACAGTACTCATGGCTTACTCCGAACTCTGCACTCAGGGATCACTCCTCGTGGGGCACTGCAGATTAAACCTGGGTGGGCCATGTATCCTACACATTGTACTATCTCTCCAGACCTTGGTTCTCTAAATATACCCATATTATTTTCTAAAATATCTTCTAGAACCAGGGAAGTGGCTCAAAAGGCTGGAGCCCATGCTTTGCTGTAAGACCGCAGATGGACCCCCAGCTTCTCATGGTCCCCCACAAGTATCTCCAGGTGTATCCACTATCCCCCCTCCCAAAAAAAATCTCCAAATGAAGACCCTTCTACATGCCAGAGCTCTCATAAGGAATGAATAGGTTTTATTTACCTAAGTCCAACATCGACTAGATCTGGACAATTCTCTTCTATCAACAAGAATTCATATAGAGTGAAAAATAATAATCTGTTGACTCTTCCAGTATATGAACACCATAAATGATTTCTAAAGTCCTCAAGGAAACTTCCTTATTTTAAAAAATGCTTTATAATCTTCCTCTTAGCATTTTGGCTGTTACTGTTTGCACAGGTGGTAGTATATTCTTACTAATACCATCCGCATTTCTTCCTACAAAAGATTGAAAGTTAGTAACTACCACAGACGAGAGGCACATTAATACGTGATGAGAATATGACATGACTCTCCCAACTGCACTTCCCTTTTGTTCCTTAGTTCCCATTTTGTAATTGCTTCCCAAATTCTCCCAGGACCTTTCTTTGCTAGTGAAGTTCAACAAGTATTCACGGTTTAATATTTCTTGAGATCTTTGTAGAAAAATTACTTTTTATATGTGAAAGTTAACAAATTGAACATATAAATTTAATAAAAATTTCCATTGCATTTTCAGGACAGGTAGTAATCCAGTACTAAATGGGCCAATTTACCAAAATTTAGTTTCTAGATTCCTACCATCCAATACAGAATTCACTGTCCACTGTCCTCTTTTTGTTCATCGATTTGCTTGAGTGGGTACCAGTAACATCTCCATTGTAAGACTTGTTACTGTTTTTGGCATATCAGATACGTCATGGGTTGCTTGCGAGGCTTTGCCGTGCGGGCGGAATACTCTCAGTAGCTTGCCGGACTCTCTGAGAGGGGTGGAAGAATAAAACCCAGGTCGGCCACATGCAAGGCAAATGCCCTACCCGCTATGCTATTGCTCCGGCCCACCCAATACATAATATATAAAATAATGATTTTCATGGCGAGAGGAGGTGGAGTGATGGTATAGTAGGTAGGACATTTGCCTTGTACGCGACCAACCTGAGTTCAATCAGCAGCATCTTAGATGGTCCCTAAGCCTGCCAGGAGTGGTCCCTGAGCACAGAGCCAGGAGTATCTTCTGATCAGTTTCAGGTAGGGTCCCCCCCAAAAAAAAACAAAATAAAAACAATTGTAGAGGGAACTTACAAGCAGTTCTCAGGAGAACAAAGAATCCACTCTCAGCTATGCTTAGCCTGGCACTGTTGGGCCACCTGAGTTACACCTGACATGGTGGTGGCGGAGTAGGAGAATGCTATGCCAGAGATCAAACTTGAATCCTTATGCATGCAAGGTATGCATTCCAACCCTTTGGACTATCTACCACATGAAAAATAATTTATAAACATTCAATCTCATGGGAAAATTAAATGTCCCAACTTTCTTAACAGCAATTTCCTTTTTAAAAATCTAGCTCTGGTTTGGGGATATACAAGAAAAAAGTTGTGTAGATGTCCAGAAGGAGAAAATATTCATTTACTGAAGGTACCAAGCCCTATGCTCAAATAACTTAGACTTTATTTTATAGAGGATGGGGCACATCCTGTGTTTTTCACAGGTTCTGCTCTAAGCAATGATCCCTGGTGGTGCTCAGGGAACCATATATGGTGCTGAGTCATGGTCCAGCAGCTACATGAAGGCAA